AGGGATCCTGATGTAGGTGGGAGAGCCTGCTGGAGGAGGGGCATTTGAACTGAGTCCAGAAGTGAGTAGGGGTCGGGGAGGCCAACTGGTCCCAGATGGAAGGAGCTGGGCCAGCAGGGTGTCAGAGCTGCCCCATTTCCAGACAGGGTACTGTGGATTGCGGGGGAGTCTAGTAGAGCCCCAGCAGCAGCCTGGGGAGGAGCTGGAGTGGTTCTGGGAGAGGGATGTCTGTCTATGGGAGCTCATTGCTGGAGGAGGAAATAATCTTCTTTTCTGCTCCCAAACCCTGGCTGCAGTGCTTAGAGCTGTAAGACCTTGAGCAAAACACTGGAGTTTCTCTGCTTCGTTTCATCAGGGTCACTCACGCACTCATTCTTTCCACCCTTACACTTTTATTGAGCCCCTACTATGTACCAGGCACTCTTCTAAGCCCTGAGCAGTGAACAAAACTGATGATAATCCCTGATTCATGGAGCGTGCATTCCCGTGATACAGACAGATTGAAGCAAGGGAGTAAAATGTGCCCTTCCTATCCCTCAGATGGGGGAGGAAAGGCTCCCTGCCAGATTCACTGACACACCCTCCCAGCCCTGGTGCTGTGGGCAGGGCTCTCAGGCCCCTTTTGAAATAGAAACTGAAGATCAGATTCAGGAAGTTGGAGGATTCACAGCTTGGACGGGTCGTTTTTCCTTATCCACCCCCTGTGACCTAGGGTGGCCAGTTTTACCTCCTCAGCTGTCTCCTGCCCATGACATCTGCTTGAGGTGCCTCTTGGCCCTGCCTGTAGCCTCTTGCCCTGAGCACAGGAAAATCTGCTGGGCCACCCACCACTTGCACACCGCTGTGGCTCCCCAGTGCCTGCCGGGCCAACTCCTCATCCCCTTGTGATCTGCCCCTCCTGCCTCCCCAAGCTTCGTCCCTTCCTTGGCCAGAGTGAACCCTGGAGTCCTAGGAATGCCCCCAACACTCAGAATGGCCACCGAGCTGGTGCTGAACATCAGCCTCGCCCTCCGGGTCTGTTTCCATCACAGCAGCTCTGTGGTTTGTCATTGTTTTTGACCAGCAGTTCCTTCTCAGTTCCTCACAAAGATATAGAAAGATAAGTCACAAAGATTAGTCAAAACAAGACGGATCTTGCTGTGCTGACCCGCCTGGTGAGAACAAGCACCGTAGCCTTTCGGGCGCTTTGTGACCGTGGGTAAGAGGATGTGGTGAGGCCTGCCCAGCCTACACCATGCCCCTCTGCCCTCAGTAGTGAAAAGAGCTTAGACTCAGGTCAGACAGACCTGGGTTTGGAGTCTGTTCCTGCTGTGTGCTGCAGACAGGGAACCATGGACCTCACCTCTCGGAGGCTCCATTTGCTCATCTGGAAAGTGGAAACAGCAGCATCAACCTCACAGGGTTGTTAAAAGGACCACTTGGCCCCAGAGATGAGAACATGGCCTGTGAGTGGCAAAGTCATGTCACAGTCACCCAGTTCTGCAGTTAGGATCCCTGTGAGGCATGACTGTGCTGGGAACACCTGCCCTCCACAATTGCACTTTCTGCTCAGCATCTAAATAGAAAGTCGTCCTGTGACGCCTGCTTACTGTCTCCCCTCTGCCCGGTGGTCCCAGCACAGCTTCCGAGATCGACTCCGGCTCTCTGTATTTCCTCCCCTCCCATTCACCTTGGCCTCTGCCTCCCTGTGACTACAGAACTCCTCTGGTTAGGGGCACTGATGGCCTCCACATTGCCAAACCCATTGGGCACCTGCAGTCTTTATCATCCTTGACTTTGGCTGTATTAGATGAGGCTCCCAGTGTCCTCCACTGCTCAGGCCACCCTTTTGCACCCTCCTTTATAGGACTCTCCTGATGTTCCACACTCATGGCTGGGGACCGCAAGGAAGCCCAGGCCATTTCCACTGCTCTGTCCCCTCTCCTAAGCACCAGACCATGCAATCGGCCTGTCCCCACCTAGAGACCCCCACTAGGATGTCATCCCTGAGCTTAGCTGTCCACAGCTGGCCGCTCTCCCCCACTGGCCAGATGTGTCTCTTCTCCTGTGTAAGTAGCCAATGAATCTCACTGGTGATCTGGTGTGGGCTTTGATCATCTGCCACAACAATCCCTAATCCTGCGCCTCTCCTTCTCTCTCGCTTTCTATCTGTCTGAGTCTCAGATGGTGGCTGTATCACCTCTCAGCTGGACATTGCCACCTACTCTTAGCAGCCAAGCTGGCCTTCCTAAAATACAAGTCACTGCTGCCAAAAATTCTTCTGAGTTTCCAGTGAGCCTCAGGATAAAGTCCAATGTCTTCCCCTGGTGTTCAAGGCCACCCAGCCTGGCCCCTGCCTGTGCCTCTAAGCTCCTCCTTCCCCAACCCTCCTCACCCCTCCAGCTATCCTTCACTCCAGCCAAATCAGGGCCTTTCCTGATGCCCAGTGTGCCCTTGACCCTTGATCTTACTGCCTCACTTGGCCTGTGGCTTCCCTCTCGGCCCTCACCACCACTGTGACTGTGTATTGATGTGGGTGCAGATTAGCTCCACAGGGCAGGGGAGTCCCAGTGCTCAGCACAGGGCCTGGCACGTAGCAGATGCTTAATAAATACAGGTGTGCCTGCTATAAAGTGACACATGCCTTTCGGAAAAACCTGCAAAATCCTAAGAAGTGTTTATGGGAAGAATAGAGCTGGGACAAACTACTCAAGGTCTATGCAACTTTGTAACCAGAGCACTAAGAGAAAACCCTTAACAATCCTAATGTATGTATCTGCGCAGTTGAAAAGCATTTGTTAAATTCTTCCTTAAAAACCCTCAGTAAGAACCCAGGAGGCGTGTTGATGGAAGGGGGCTCAAGGAAGGGGGGGGAGGCATTTTGATGGAACGGGGTGTGAGGTTCACTGCTGAGTTATGGAGACAAGGGCAAAATGCACAAAGATGGAGAAGCAAACGGCCGGTGCGTTTATGCCAGAGCATGTGGCCAAGTGGTCCGGTGGGGAAGGCGGGTGAGCGGGCACTGGGAGCAGCGCTGCTTCCTGCACTGTTCGCTGAGTCCTGCTCTGTTAGCGTCCTCTGTGTCCAACTGCTGTTCCTTGGTAGCATGAAATGGCACTGCTCTGGAAGAATCCTGTTTCCTGAGCACGACTCCTCTGCAACACCGCTTTCCCCATTCACTGGAAGGGATGAGAGACCCATGTCACGGGAGCACACTGCATTTGTCGAGTGTGTGAGTGCCCTAGTGGCATGGGTTGTGTGTATTGGTGCAATTAGCTCATTCCATCTGTTTGCCCCGCTGGACTTGGCCCTTTCTGCATGGCAAGGTCTGTGCCTGCATTCTTTGTGTCTCAAGTCCTGTGGCTCATTGCCTGTCGCTATGTAGGTCCTGGGGCTGTGACAGTTCACAGGCTACTGTTTCTGCCCTCAAAGAACCAACCGAGAATGGACCACGTGGCCGGTGGGAGTTACCCAAAAGCACTTTCTGGAGAAATGCCCAAGCTTTCCATGAGGAGACTTCTCAGAGTCCAGGAAAATGAAGTGGATTTGGGAGACCGTGTGGAGGTGGCATGTGCTTCTGGAGGCCCAGCGGTCATGGAGGGTGAAGGGAGGGGAGGTTGGTGGATAACTCATTTGACATTCACTGACCCTGCTAGGGGTCGCAGTGTAGGGTGGGCGCTGGCCTAGGTACCAGCTATACATCAGTGAACCAAAGATCTTTGCTTGTGTGGAATTTACATCCTAGCAGGAGCAAGATAATAAACAGTAAACTGCTAAATAAGTCATGCAGTGTGTTAGCAGGTGTTAAGTGCTTTGGAAGAAAGAACAGAAGCATAATGGGATGGGGAATGCTGGCCCGGTGTGTGGGGCAGGGCAGCAGGTTGCAGCATTGGGTAGGAGGGTCAGGGAAGGCCTTCTGGGAAAACTGAGTTCTGAAGGAGGCCTTGCAGGAGGTGGAGGAGGGAGCAGGGTGAGTATCCCCTGCTGGGTGGGGGGAGAACATTCCATGCAGAGGCAGCAGCTGACCCCCCAGGGTTTTCCAGCTCAGCACTGCTGACACTTGTGCTGGATTGTTCTATGTGGGGCTGCCCTGTGCAGGGAAGGATGCTGACCAGCTTCTCTGGCATCAACCCACCAGATGCCAGGAGTGTCCTCCAGGTTGTAACAACAGTGTCTCCAAAAAATGCCAAATATCCCCCTGGGGCAAAAATGCACAGAGCTAGAAGAGAGCCCTGTGGTGACAGCCTGCTTGGGTGTTGAAGGAAGAGCAAGGGGGTGGGTGTGATGGAGAGGGGTGATGGAGGGCGGTGTAGTGGAGGAGGCCAGAGAGGTGCCAGGTGGTGCTGGTTGGGTTGTTATAGGGGCTTGTGGCTTGGTAAGGACTTTAGCTTTTACTTGGGATGTAGTAGGGGGCTAGTGCTGGCTCTGAGCAGAGGAGAGAGAGTCTGCATGCAGGGATGGGGAGCACGGGGACCCCGCACAGCCCCTGCCCAACCCGAACAGAAACCTCGCACCCCCAGCTGAGCAATCCCAGACCCTGGGGCTCGATGACCCGTATTTGCGAACTTTTCTTCAAAGACAAAACTAGCCCCCAGAGGGGACAAATTGCTTTTCATTTCTATGCTTCTCTGCTGGTGGCTTCATATTCATAACACGATGATCAGTATCACCAGGAATGGGGCTGTTGCCTTAAAGGATAAATTAGTCTGACTCTTAACTCAATAATTAAAACTGTGATGGCGCTCGGCCTGCAGGGATAATATACCATTATTATAGTCGTTTGTTTCAATTAAATGCTTACTGATTTTACGGTAGCAGCTGGGCACCTGTGCGCTACAGCTATTACTGTGAACAAGACATCTAAATTTCAGGAGAAATTTGTCAGCGTGCGAAGGATCTCCCGCCAAGCATGAAAGTGTGCTAGAAATACTTACCGATGAGGCTTTGGGGCCAGGGGCAGGCACGGGGGAGGCTTCCTATTGGTTCTCTTTTCCTGTCTTTTGTAGTGGATTGGTTTTTTTCCCAAAAAGGAGATTATTTTCAATTATTTGATGCTTAAAGCCCCAGGACATCTCAGAGAGCAGTGTGCCCCTGGGAAGATTGGCATGGGGGAGCTTTAGTTGTGACTTCGCACATCATTGATTCTGGGTTACAGTAAGCTGAATCATGCCCCATCAGGTGCCCACGTCCCGATCCCTGAGGTCTGTGACTGTGCTACCTTGTTTATCAAAAGGGGCTTTGCAGCTGTGATGAAGTTAGAGCTCTTGAGATGGGGAGATGACTGGTTTATTCGTGTGCCCATGTGGCACACCTGGTTAAGACTGCACTGGTTAAGACTGTGTGTTCATTTCTGCCTCCCCCACCAAAATGTGCACTCCTGAGGTGCGGTGTTTCTAGCTCAGGGTCTCAGACGTAACGGCCCTCAGGGAATGTTGATTGAATGAATGAGTACTAGGAGCACTGAGCTTGAGTGTGAGCTCAGTGATGTGATTTCAAAAGTACTTTCAAGAGGGAGACAGGAGAGTCCAACGCACGGCACCACTGCTGATGAGGCCACAGAAGCAGAGAGTAAAAAGGCCATGTGATGTGGGGCCACAAGCCAAGGGATGAGGATACAGTTCATCCAAAATAATAATAAGAATTATGGAGATGCTTCTCCCCTGGAGCCTCCAGAGGGAACTAGCCAGCCGGCACCTTTACTTCAGCGAGACTGATTCTGGGCTTCTGACTTCCAGGAGGTGCATGTGCTGTTCTTGCTCCTGCAAGGGAAGGAATTTGTGTGATTTCACAGCATGAAGTTTGTGGTGATTTGTTACAGTAACAATAGGAAACAAATACACAGCCTCCACTGCCTTCTCAGAGGCTGAGATGTGGTGACTGTGACTGGGGAGGCAGATTTGCTGCAGGCCATAGGGCTTCTTGTCATTTGTCAGCGCCCAGACCTGCTGTTGCACTGGTTAAGGTTGTGTGTTCATTTCTGCCTCCCCCACCAGAATGCGCACTCCTGAGATGGGGTGTTTCTAGCTCAGGGTCTGAGACGTAATGGCCCTCAGGGCATGTTGATTGAATGAATGAATGAGTACCAGGAGCACTGAGCTTGAGTGTGAGCTCAGTTGTTGCCTGTGGCTGTCCTCTTAGCACATTTACCTGCAAGCACATTTACCCTCCTCCAAGTCCAGCCTCTGGATACCCCTTTTATCCTGATCTCCCACCTTACCCATCACTCCAGCCCCACCAGGCTCCAGTGGCCTGCAGCGCTCATCACACTGGCCTGTGCCTCAGTGCCTTTGCATGTGCTGTTCTTGCTCCTGGTACATACTCTGCACTGTCTGTATCTTCTGCAGACTTCAAGAGTCAGCTCAGAGTTTTTTCCTGTGGAAACGCTTCCTGGCTCTTGGGCATTGGAGGGGCTCCTTCTCTGGCACCCCACAGGACCCCAGGCACACCTGGGTTGCTGCCCTGGTTAAAACTGTGGGTTCATTTCTGCCGCCCCCACCAGAATGTGCACTCCTGAGATGGAGTGTTTCTAGATCAGAGCCTTAGACATAACAGCCCCCAGGGAATGTTTACTGAATGAATGAATGAATGAATGAGTACCAGGAGCAGCTTGGAGCTCCGGGAGGTCTAGAGAAGTGAAGTGGCCACAGAGAGAGGTGTGACCAGGGCAGCTCAACACAGAGGCCAGCAAAGGACACACAAAGGAGGCTCAAGGCAGTGATGGAAGCTCACAGCAGAGGACACAACAGTGGCCAACTTCGGGGTCTCTGTCACTGTGCAGGCCTGTCTGCCAGGTCTAGACTTCTAGGCTGGACCCCAGACTTGTGACCTCTTCTTTTCCTTCCAGTACTGGCACGCAGGAGCTTTGTCATTGAATTCTCACATCATCCATCCAAGTGTGGTGCGCTGGATAAGAACCCCCCACAGAGATGTCCATGTCCTAATTCCCAGACCCTGTGAACATGTTAGCTTCCATAGACACCCTGTTGGCTCCCGAAACTTAACACATTTCTGCCTGTGCTCATCACCTTCCCTCTGACCAATTCTGCTCCTCCTCCTATGTCTCCACCTCAGAGAACTGCAATAGCCACCCCTTATCACCATTTCATCCCAAGAGTCTTGCTTGACTTGGCCACTACTCATTGCACACATTCCACTCAATTACCTATCAATATCAGTCTTCCTCAGTGCCTCTCAGACCTATCTGATAGATTTGACCACTGCCATAGACTACTCCAGTCCCCTCTCTGGGACCTGTTGTCTCCTCCCTCAACTGCCTCATCCATGTGGAGCCAGAATGGTTCCATAGGGCAATTCTGAACACATACCTCCCCTGCTGAAATCCCTTTGATGGCTCCCATTGGACTGGGAGAAACTTCTGCCACTCTGGCTCTCAGGCCTTTTGCTGTCCATCCCTGCTGACCTCTGAAGCCTCAGTGAAGCCACCTCAGGTCCTGCCAGGTCCATCTCAGCTCCACGGCTTTGTACAGGCTGTTACCTCTTCCTGGACACCCTCCCTCTCTTCACCAGCTAACTCCTGAGCAGCTGCAAGAGTCAGGCCAGGTTCTACTTCCTTTCGGTGGTATTCTTCTTCTGCCGACTGGGTGGGGAGGTCTCTGCACACGTCTTACTCCCATTGCCCCCACCACCACCACGCAAGGCCTCTTGAAGGAGGGACTGTGTTCTGTTAGTCACGTGTTCTCTGAACCCAGCATCTTCACTTGGTACTGGACGTGCTCAACAAAGGCTGCTGAGGGGCTGGAGGGAGGCATGGCTGATTCACTGTGGTGAGGCTGGTTCTTGCCCCTCTCAGCAGGACCCTGCTCAATGCCTGGGAGATGCAGAGGTGCTGGGTAAGGGGGTGGCAGGGGCCAGTCAGGTGGCTGTCATCAGTCAGGTTCCCTGGAAACACTCTGAGATGGAGCTTGTGCACAGCAAGTTTTGGGGGAGCAGTCTCGGGAATGTCACCAATGAGAAGTAAAGGAAGCAGCCTGGGGCAGAGAGAGAACAGGAACTGACATGCATTGCTACAGAGGCCTCGGCCAATCCAGGGAGCTCTGGAATGCTAGGATGTGCCTTTTGAGATGTCCCAAATTGATGTCCCAAAGGAGCTGGGTCTTTGAACCCCACATCACTGGATGCAGGCCACCCCTTGGAAGGGGTTGTAACCATGGGAGAAGCAGCTCTATCAGCCACAGGCAATTCCTGGAGAGGGGTAGAGCTGCGAGCTGTCAGGAGCCCACATGCCCAGCAGCTGGAGAACTGAGTGCCGTGGTCCTGAAGGGGCTGCCAGGGTGTGCATGCCTCACTATTCCCCACAGGGGTCACAGCTGCACTGATTTTAAAGAGACTGCAATGTGAGGTCAGAGCAAGAGCTTAGCTGGTGGACAGTACAGGGCTTGGCCAAGTGAGAGCGCACTGAGCAGGTGTTCGCTGAGGCCGTACTGGGCAAGTGGGTATGGTGACGAGGTAGGGCTGAGGACGCAGGCGTGGGAGCCACACAGACATTCATGTGAATCTGGCTCTGCCGCCTACAGTCAAATGACCTCAGGCATGTGACTTCTCATTCTGAGCCTCAGTTTCCTCATAAGTCAAATGTTGATGATAAGCACCCCTTTCTCCCATGCCTGAGTAAGAATCAACTGTGGTCAACAGGTCAGTGTCTGCCAAACACTACCTGCCACATAAAGGATAGCATTTCTACCATTGCTGCTACTTACTGACCACACTTCACTACCAGAGGAGTTGCCAGTCTGTGGCCTTGGGCCAAAGGCCCTCTGCCTGTTATTGTAAATAAAGTTTTATTGGAACATAGCTACAGCCCTTCATTTGCATTCTTGTCTATGGCTGCTTTCCTGCTTCTGCAGCAGAATTGAGTAATGATTAGAGACCATCTGGCCTGCAAAGCTTAGAGTATTTACTATCTGACCCTTTACATCGTTTGCCACCCCCCAGATCTGACAAATACAGCACATATTTGTGAAGCGCCACTCCTGCGCCAGGCCTTGTGCTGTCACTTTTAGTGTCCTTGGAGCCTCCCTCCTGGCTTCTCTCTCCTCTCAGATTTCAGAACCTTCTATTGTTTCTCACCTCTTTTTATTTTTTTTGAGATGGATTCTCGCTCTGTCGCCCAGGCTGGAGTGCAGTGGTGCGATCTCGGCTCACTGCAACCTCCACCTCGCAGCTTCAAGCGATTCTCCTGCCTTAGCCTCCCTTCTGTAGCTGGGACTACAGAAGCCCACCACCACACCTGGCTAATATTTGTATTTTTAGTAGAGACAAGGTTTCACCATGTTGGTCAGGCTGGTCTCGAACTCCTGACCTGAGGTGATCCACCCGCCTCGGCCTCCCAAAGTGCTGGAATTGCAGGCATGAGTCGCCGTGCCTAGCTGTTTCTCACCTCTTCTTAGCCCATTTGAGATCCAGTTCAAGCTCATACCTTGAGCAAGTTCATGCGGGAATGAAGAAAGGAAAACTTTTGTCTTGAACACCTGCTACATGCCTGAATCTCTACAAAGTTACCTTTTCATTTGATCCTCACATTTACCCCATGAGGGCAGGGTCATTGTTACCCCATGTTGAAGCTGTTAAGATCTGTATGGGTGCAGTGAAAAACATCTCAGACTCAGAAGACAGGCAGGATTCTGGCTTTTCTGCTTTCTGGCTGTGTGATCTTAGTTAAGTCACTTAACCTCTCTGGGTTTCAGGGTCTTTATTGTCAAATGGGGTGATATGAGTGCTTACGTCAAAGATTTGTTGGTGAATCTCCTAGCATGTTCCTGGGGCGTAGTGAGCCCTCACTCGCTGAAATACCAGATATCATTACCATTATTATTATTGCTACCATTCTCTATAAATGAGGACGTTGGGATCTGTTGGAAAGCACTACTCTTTATAAATTACTCAGTGTCAGGTAGTACTTTAGAGCAGCGTGAGAAGGGACTGATACAGAAAACTGGCACTCAGCAGTGGGACGGTCCTGTAAAGATACCTGAAAATGTGGAATTGACTTCGGGACTGGGTAACAGGCAGAGGTTGGAACAGTTTGGAGGGCTCCGAAGAAGACAGGAAGATGTGGGAAAGTTTCGAACTTGCTGGAGACTCGTTGAGTGGTTTTGACCAAAATGCCAATAGTGATATGGGCAGTGAAGTTCAGTGGTCTCAGTTGGAGATAAGGAAGCTATTGAAAACTGGAGCAAAGGTCACTCTTGCTACACTTTAATTTCTGATTGTGCTCAGAAACTAATGAGCAGTGCTGGGAGCCGTGGCTCACACCTATAATCCCAGCACTTGGGGGAGCTAAGGAGGGTGGATCACCTGAGCCCAGGAGTTCAAGAACAGCCTGAGCAACATAGGGAGACTCCGTGTCTCCAAAAATACAAAAAATTAGCTGGGTGCTGTGGCTCCACCTGTGGTCCCAGCTCCTTGGGAGGCTGAGGTGGGAGGATCGCCTGAGCCTGGGAGGTAGAGGCTGCAGTGAGCTGTCTTTGCACCACTGTACTCCAGCCTGGGCGACCGAGTCCAGACATTAAGGAGAAGTTTCTGAACCTTTTCAAACTGAAGCAGGAACTTAAATGAGAGCACAATTGAGCAGAGCCTCTGTTGCCATCGGAAAAAAGACCCCACAGCGTATACATCTGTCAGCATTTCAGATTGACCCTGTACATGTACACAACTATGACTTGTCAATTAAAAGAAAAGAAAAAAATTTTAATTCTGGGGGAAAAAAGAATTCCACCTTCCCGGGCTGAGTGTGAGGCTGTGTTGAGTGACAGCTCATTTAGGCCTGGGAGGAAGCAGGGTGGCTGCCAGCTCTGTGAGTCGGCAGAAGGCGGGAAGGAGGAAGGTGTGATTTTTCTTGTTCTCTCCTCGCTGTGTGGGGTTACGCTGAGCACACGTGGCCGCTCTCCATAGAGACTGCAAATGGGGAATTTGTAAAACATGCCTTTGTGTTCCTGCAGCCCTGCGAAGCTATTAAGCCCTGCGATCCTAATTACGTTCACAGCCGCCTCGTTCCTGTTGCCTCCGTGTCTCCTCCTTCCTGGGGCGGGTGCAGATGTGGCTCGGGAATGTGGCCATATGTTTCCATGAGCGAAGCAGGAGGCTGGCTTCACTTGGTTCCCAGACATCTCATGAGTGCCGGCTGCCTGCCCAGCCCTCTGCCTGGTGCTGGGAGGCAGGTGTCTCCGCATTGAGCAGATGCTGGGAAGAAACAAGGAGAGCTCTGCCAGAGGCTTGGAAAGAGGGCGAGGCCAGAGGATGGAGCAGGAGAGGGAGGGCTTCACGGAGGAGGTGATGTTTCAGGTAAGCCACAAAGGAGGATGACACAGAGGGCAGGTGTCCAGTCTAGAGAAAAGCGCACATGTCCCTAGGGAGCTCTGGGAAGAGGCTGGAGAGGTCAGGAGGAGAGAGATTGTATAGATCTTTGTGGGGTATTGTACATGGCTAGGCCATTGCTAAGTGGGCCTTCGGGAGCTGCTGAGAGAGGAGAGCAGGGAGGAGACATTTCATGCCCCAGAAGGGTCACTGCAGGGGCCAGCATGGTGCCTGGACTCAGGAGGCCATGCTGGAGGCCAGGACCAGGGCTGCATAGCCTGAGATGGCCCTGAAATCAGACCCTGACACAAAGGTTTCGGTGCAGGAAGTTTGTCTGGGGGGTAAACCCAGGAAGCCCATGGAGGGAAGTGATATGGAAGGAAAGAAAGTTATGGGTTGTTACCACTGTGAGCAACAGGAACCTGGTCCTGCTGTGGACCCCATGAGCGACTGTGGAAGTGATCCTGGAAGGATGTCAAGTCTTCCGTGAC